AGAAGATTTGACAATATAGAACAGGAGGCAATGGACCAAGGAGGCAGAATTGGAGTGACATGGCCATAAGTCAAGAATGCAGACAGCTATCAGCTGGAAGAGGCAAGGAACGATTCTCCCCTAGAAGCTCCAGAGGGAGTATGGCCCTGCAGACACCTTGATTTCAGACCAATGAAACTGATTTTGGACTTCTGGCCTCCAGAATGGTTACAGAACAAATTTCTGTTGTTTTAAGACACCAAGTTTATGTAATTTGTAAAAGCAGCATAGGAACCTAATACGACATGAAAAATATTGAAAATCTTAACAATTTAACAAAGAAATGCAAAACTTATGCTCTACAAATTGCAAAATATTGTTGAAAGAAATTAAAGAAGACCTAAACAAATGGAAATACAGCTCATATTCATGTATCGAAGGCTCAGTATAAATAACATGGAAATACTCTCCAAATGATCTATAGAGTCACTGCAATATCAAATTCTAGCCAGTTTTTGGGGCGGCAGAAATTGACAAGCTGATCCTAAGATTCATATGGAAATGTAAGGGACCCAGAATAGCCAGATAATTCTGAAAAAGAAATTGAAGAACTTACACATCCCAATCTCAAAATTTATTTTAAAACTACAGTAATAGGTCAGGCATGGTGGGATGTAGAGATGGCACAAATGGGTTCTGGAATCCAAAAACTGGAGAAAGAAATTAAAGTGGAGCCTGAGACCCTTAGAAGAGACCCCCGTCTCTACTATAAATAGAAAGAAATTAGCTGGACACAAAAAAATATATATAGAAAAAATTAGCCGGACATGGTGGCGCATGCCTGTAGTCCCAGCTACTCGGGAGGCTGAGGCAGGAGGATCGCTTGAGCCCAGGAGTTTGAGGTTGCTGTGAGCTAGGCTGACGCCAAGGCATTCTAACCCAGGCAACATATTGAGACTTTGATTCAAAAAAAAAAAAAAAAAAACCTATAATAATATAGTGTTGTACTGGCATAAAGATAGACATATAGATCAAGGGAATAGAATTGAAAGTCCAGAAATAAACTCATACATTTATGGTCAATTGATTTTTAACAAGGGTACCAAGACAATTCAATGGGGGAAAAGATAGTCTTTTCAACAATTGTTGCTGGGACAACTGGATATCCAAATGCAAAGGAATGAAAGTGGATCCCTACATCACACCGTGCATAAAAATTAACTCAAAATGGATCAAAGAGTTAAATGTAAGAGCTAAACTCTTACGAGAAAACACAAACATAAATCTTCATGAACTTGTATTATGTAACAGTTTCTTAGATATGATACCTAAAGTACAAGCAACCAAAGAAAAAACAGAGAAATTGGACTTCATCAATTAAAAACTTTTGTGCTTCAAATAATACCATCAAACATGTGAAAAGACAACCCACAGAATGAGAAAATATTTGCAAATCATATAACTAATAAGGGGCTTGTATCTAGAATATGTAAAGAACTCTTACAACCAACAATTAAAAGCCAAATAACTAAATTAAAAATGCCAAATGGGCCGAGTGGAGTGGCTCACGCCTGTAATCGTAGCACTTTGGAAGGCCGAGGCAGGCAGATTGCTTGAGGTCAGGAGTTCGAAACAAGCCTGAGCAAGAGCGAGACCCAGACTCTACTATAAATAGAAAAAAATTAATTGGCCAACTAATATATATATAGAAAAAATTAGCTGGGCGTGGTGCCGCATGCCTGTAGTCCCAGCTACTCGGGAGGCTTAGGCAGCAGGATTGCTTGGGCCCAGGAGTTTGAGTTTGCTGTGAGCTAGGCTGACACCACGGCACTCACTGTAGCCTGGGCAACAAAGAATAGAATTTCTTCAAAGACATGCAAATGACCCATAAGCATATGAAAAATAGTTTAACATCATTAGCCATTAGGGAAATGTATCAAAACCAAGATAATAAGATAATACTTTCATATTCATTAGGGTGACTATAATTAAGAAAACAGATTATAACAAGTACTGGCAAGGATATGGAAAAATTGGAACCCTTTTATTGCTGGTGGAAATGTAAAATGTTGTAGCCCTTTGGAATATAGTCTGGTAGTGCCTCAATGGGTAAACATAGAATTACCATGCAACCCAGCAACTCCACTCCTAGTATATATACACAAAGGAAATGAAAACATATATACAAATGTTCTTAGCAGCATTATTCATAATAGCCAGAAACAACCCAAATGTGCAGCAATTGATGAATGGATAAATAAAATGTGGTATATCCTTACAATGAAATATTATTCAACAGTAAAAAGGAATAAAGTACTGATATATGCTACAGTATGGATAAACCTTGAAAACATTATGCTAAGTGAAAGCAGCCAGTCACAAAAGACTACATATTACATAATTCCATATTAGTAATACATCCAGAATAGGAAAATCTATAAGGACACAAAGTAGATTAGTGGTTGTCTAGAGTTGGGGGTGGGGGTGACGGGGAAAAAGGGCAAGTGACTACTAATGGGTACTGGTTTCTCCGGAGTGGTAAGTGCTGTAAAATTGATTACAGTGATATTTGTACAACTCTGTAAATATACTAAAAACCACTAAATTGTATCCTTTGGTGTATTGTATGGTATGTGTATTAAATCTTGATAAAGCTGTTTAAAAATTTGCTCAGTACATACTTGCAAATATTATGAATTATTGCCAGTTTATGGAACTGTTGAAAGAAATAGAAGAAAATAAATGTAATGATCTTGTATTCTTTGCCAATGCTTCTTGGTTGTTTGAGTCAAAAAGAGTTTTGCAAAGATTTATTGGGCTGTTAACTCCAAGATTTTATAACAAAAGGAATGGTTGTGTTGGGGCTCAGAAAATGACACCCCAAAGTATCACACTTTGGCATACTGAGTACTTTGAATTAGTAGATTGGAAGAACTTAGAAACAGCCTCAGAAGCAAAGTCTCTCACTGACCTCCTCCTGCCCGCCTGTCTCTTGTCCTTCTTTTTCCTCCAAGGCAGGTCATAGAAACTAGAACCCCTCTGCCCCAAACCAGCCATAAAACCTAGAAATATTACTCTAACTTTCCCCAGCTTTTCTTTGTAAGAGCTGGCCATAAAGAAATTTTCTGACCTACCTCATCTGATAGTAGGTCATAAGACCTACTACTTTCATTCCAGAGGGGTCCTGCCCTGTATCTGGGAGGAAGGATTGCTACAGAGATGCCAAGAAGAATCTGAACAGACAGGCCTTGCTGGGTTTCCCCCTCAGTCTATTACTACCAGATCATACCCTTTTCGTCCAATCACATTTCTAGATGCTGTCCATTTTCACTCAACCTAAGCATAAAAATAGATAGTTTTTCCTGGGTCCTTGGGTCTTCATTTCTGAAGGCTACTTTATCACATGAAACTTTGATTAACTAAATTTGTTATGCTTTTCTCTTGTTAATCTCTCTATAGTTATAAGAGTGTTTGCCCTGACCCTTATGATGGGTGAGAGAAGGTATCACACCTTTCTGCCCCTACAGTTGACAAGTATTTTATCAATCAAAACCAAAACAAGGAGGTGTAATGTGTTTTCTCACTAATATAATAATCCATATGAACAAACTAGATTCCAAGTTCCAAGAAAAGGAAAAACTTATTTGTGATCTAACTAGATAGGCATGAAAATTTATGTTGAAATAGAAACTTTTCACAATACAAACCCTAATAAACATTGACTACGCATGCTGTTACAGCACCCCGAGCTTCCAGTGCTGGGCCTGACGTAGCAAATAAATGTCAGAGGAGTAGGTACTGGACACTCTCTCCTTTCTTCTTTCCTGAGTCCAGCAAGACTTGGAAACCTGCATTCTTCCGCTTCAGCTGCCATGATAAGGCGGTTATTTTTTCCTTAACTCCATAAGCTTCACATCAGGGGGTCTAATTTCCAGTCCTAGATTAGCTCGGCCATTGCAGGTAAAAATTCAAGACCATCATTTGCCCTTTCAGTGCTTTATTTCTTAAGGCAGATGATGGGAACAATTAATACCCTTCCAGCTTACTTTACCAGCCTGTGAGAAGCCAGAGGGAGGTGGCATATTTTTAAGTATTGAGAAATGATGAGGGGGGGCATAGTGAAGTATGCACAGCCTGGGTTTGTACCAAGTTCTGCAGCAGACCAGTGTGACCAGGGACAAGTCATTTAAATATGAACTGTTTACTCATTGGCAAAACGTATTCCCTTTCTTGTCCCCAGACGGGTAGGAGAGACGAGTGTCGAGTGTCGAGCGTCGGGGCTGCATCTGGGGCCTTTCACAGCGCCCTCCGGCGTGCAGGAAGAGGGCAGGCGTCCTTGTAGTCGGTTTCTAAACCCCGGCTCTGGGCTCTGGCCCAACTATCTTATTTACACATGAAAAAGGCTCAGAGACTGAGTTGCTTGTCCATGGTCACACAAGGAGTACTATTATAGAATCGATCCAAGGACCACGGCATCTGTGAGGAATCTAGAGCGGCCCTCGTTGGAGAAGCAACCACCAATTGCGGTTTCGCAACGTGGACACCTCAGAGAGAAACCGAGGCCCGTCACCTAGCGGCGGGTTTGGGCGCTACAAGGAAAACGCCGTGAAAAAGACACTGGGCACTGCGGCATCCGGGAGCCAATGCGTTCTCAGGTCGCTCGGCTAACTGCTTTTTTCCATTGGTCCTTCTAACTTTCAATCAATCATTTGCTCATCTTTTATTAGATAAGCCTCAATCATTCTACTCAATCTACCAATGATATGCTTTTTCCAAGCTCATCTTTACGCCAAGCGCTATTAGAGTTCCTCCCAAATCTGAAGAATTTAGCCAGTTCCTTTATTCCATTGGCCAGATCAGATTCCTCCTCTCGTCTATCCTGTTCAGGACGGAAGTGAGAGAGTCCCTACTCCTATTGGCTTAGATTTGCAAGCGGTGGTTGTCCATCAAATTAACGTTGGCGCTAAGGAAGTACGGCTCCGGAAGGGGCGGGCCTTGCGAAGATGGCGGCGCCGGTGAGTTTAGCTTGGAGTCTTCTTCATGTAGCTATTGTGGACATTTCCTCTCTTCTCAGCGGCCCGAGGCAAACTATTGGCACAAAGGAAGAGTGGTGATGAAAGTTACTTCAGGGAGGTGGCCTCCCTGACACAATGGAGCAAAAGCAACAGTAGGGAGACAGGCCAGGAGTTACCGCTCCTTTCCAGTAACCACAGGGGCTGGCTTTGAGGCGAGGCTGCATGTGCATCGGAGTGAGAAGGCCCCGAGTCTGGTGTGTCTGAAGCAAAGAGGGGAGTTTCCCACCCGAGACGTTGCGCCTTTTTAACCTGGATGAAATAATGACTTTTTTCTACTTTTTCTCTCCTTCCTTTAGGATATGCTGGACTCAGACCTGCCAAATGCTGTGACACTTTTGAAAAACCTACAGGAGCAGGTGAGTAATGTCAGCCCTTTGGAATAGATTAGTCACGGATTGGTTTTGACTCTGTGTGCCTCACCTTCAAACTTTGATGATTTGGGGACAGATATGTAAATGCTACCAAATACTGTAAGAGTAAAATGACTTAATGAAAATCCTTTCAGGCCAGAATTCAAAGTAATTGATTTCTGCGAGGAATATAGAAAACTATAAGAATAAATCATCTGAATCAGGCTGGGCGCTGTGGCTCACGCCTGTAATCCTAGCACTCTGGGAGGCCTAAGGCCGGAGGATTGCTCGAGGTCAGAAGTTCGAAACCAGCCTGAGTGAGACCCCGTCTCTACTAAAAATAGAAAGAAATTAATTGACCAACTAATATATACAGAAAAAGAATTAGCCGGGCATGGTGGCGCATGCCTGTAGTCCCAGCCACTCAGGAGGCCGAGCCAGAAGGATTGCTTGAGCCCAGAAGTTTGAGGTTGCTGTCAGCTAGGCTGACGCCACGGCACTCACTCTAGCCTGGGCAACAAAGCGAGGCTGTCTCAAAAAAAAAATCATCTGAATCATTTTCCTTTATTCTTGGAGCTAGGGGAAACCAATGCTGGGAAAGGTGACTTGATTTGCCCTTTGGGTGCCCAGCTAATATATGTTTATATACAGGTGCACCTCCATTTAGTATGGGGTTACATCCTGATAAACTCACTGTAAATTGAAAATATCAAAAGTTGAAAATGGCTGACTGGGAGCTTTGGCTTGCTGCCACTGCCTAGCATCATGAGAAGTAAGGTTTCTACAGAATGTGTTTTGCTTTCAAATTCTCTTAAAGCCGTAAAGTCATAAGTCTAACTTTTCTAAGTCAGGGACTGTCTGTAGTTCTATGTATTGTAAGTTCAACCAGTTACAGATAAAGTTACATTCTTCCTATCACCACTGTCTCAGTCCTCGTCCCCTCCCCATAGTTTGGTAAAGGTAGTTTCTTCTTTAACAAGAAGTGGAAAGTTTTTTCTGCCTTTTGAAGTACCATCTCTCCACTACTTTCCCAGAACTGAAAAGAGAGTACTATACTTCAATGTTTCCTATAACTTTTAGGTGGCATTGTTCAGCTTTTACCCTTCACAGTTCACAGATGTGACTCACTATACTCTAAACAGCTGTTTTATTTGGGCTAATTTCAGGTGATGACTGTAACTGCACAAGTGCAAGCACTGACAAAAAAAGTTCAAGCTGGAGCCTATCCTACGGAGAAGGTAAGATGTACTTAAAATGTAAGCATCCCCTAACTTCATGTTCTCACTAGTTCTTCCATTGTAGATTTATTATGTCTTATACGTTGTAAGTACTAGAGCTTCAAAGATGAATGAAATCCAGTTTCTGTGCCGGAGTTTAATGGAGGAAAAGCAAATAGATATAATCAGTAGTGATCACTTACAGAGTCATGAGGAAGGATGTGCTGGCTGAGGGGAGAGATGAATTTAACTGCCAGAGGAGCAGAGGTTGTCAGGGAAAGCTTCTCAGAGGAGGTAACAGAATTTTGAGAAATAAATAGGAGTCAGAAGGCCAGAAAGAAACAGCATGTGCAAAAGCACAAAGACCTAAAAGCATGGTGACATTGTGGGAAAGGATTTAAGTCATTTTTGTGGTTGGATATACATTTTGTGTTATGTGTAGGAAATAAGACTGGAAAAGTAGTCACTCTGTGAGGAGCATTTGTAGGCCAACCAAGGAGTTACTTTTGTATTTCATCTAATCCAAAATACTACTAATTGTGGCATACCACTTAATTTATGTACTAAGAAAACATGTTGCCTCTTCATCTAAGGCATAATGCTAAGATACCATTGATTGAAAGATGCATCTTGATTTCAGAGATGTTAAAATATGAAAACGGTATGTATCTTAAAATTGAAGTTTTCAAAGTAGTGTCTGGAAGAACCTTCTCAGGGATCATTGGTGTGGAGCAATATAGAAGGGTGACTCTAGATCTCTTATTCCTGCTTGAACTGAAAAACATTGGTATTATCTGTTTTATATATTGAGCTTTTGTCATAAGGTATTAAGCAAAATATTCCATAAGTAAGCAAAAGTATGGAAATTATTATAATAGGAATCACTGAAAGATTTTTAAGCAAGGGAGTTATAGCAGATTTGTGCCTTTAGAAAGATAACTAACAGCATTTTTAATATATTCTCTTTTTGCCTTTTCTTTGTCATCATTCACTTTTGTTTTTATTGTCTATTTTTATTTTTTTTTGAGACAGAGTCTCTCTTTGTTGCCCAGGCTAGAGTGAGTGCTGTGACGTCAGCTTAGCTCACAGCAACCTCAAACTCCTAGGCTCAAGCAATCCTGCTGCCTCAGCTTCCCAAGTAGCTGGGACTACAGGCATGCGCCACCATGCCCGGCTAATTTTTTCTATATATATTAGTTGGCCAATTAATTTTTCTATTTCTAGTAGAGATGGGGTCTCGCTCTTGCTCAGGCTGGTTTCAAACTCCTGACCTCGAGCAATCTGCCCGCCTTAGCCTCCCAGAGTGCTAGGATTATAGGTGTGAGCCACCGCGCCTGGCCTTTTTCTTATTTTTAAATCTTTTCTTTTTCCTCTCATACCCTTGTAACTCAATTTGAACTTGACAATGCCCAAGCATGTCAGAAGAACCTACTCTTCAAATTCTTACCGGTCTTTGTCCTGGTTACCATGATTTGATCCATTTCAATGCCTTTTTTGAGACAGGTGAACTGCCAGCATGTTTCTTAGATCACTATGTATTTGTTTATTCATTGAACAGATATTTATTGACTTATCTTTTATGACCAAAGATTTTACTAGGTTCTTTACTGGTTAAAAAGTGCTTCCATGGCCGGGCGCGGTGGCTCACGCCTGTAATCCTAGCTCTCTGGGAGGCTGAGGCGGGGCGGATTGCTCAAGGTAAGGAGTTCAAAACTAGCCTGAGCAAGAGCGAGACCCCGTCTCTACTATAAATAGAAAGAAATTAATTGGCCAACTGATATATATATAAAAAATTAGCCGGGCATGGTGGCACATGCCTGTAGTCCCAGCTACTCGGGAGGCTGAGGCAGAAGGATCGCTCGAGCCCAGGAGTTTGAGGTTGCTGTGAGCTAGGCTGACGCCACGGCACTCACTCTAGCCTGGACAACAAAGCGAGACTCTGTCTCAAAAAAAAAAAAAAGTGCTTCCACATTATCTTATTTGCGCCTCATAATTATTCTTGGTGGAAAGAAGGGAGTATTATACATATTTTAAAGATAAAGAGACTGAGGTCGCAAGGTTGAGTGACTTGCCCAATATTTGACTACCAAATGCCTAATTCAGAACTTAATTTGTCTGGCTTTAAACCTTTTACTTTCCTTCTATACCACACTAGTGTTGTTCTCAAGAGCTTAGCATGTTGGTTTAAAGATACCTAGGGCTTAGGTGTTAAAGTCAGACTGAGTTTGAATTCTAGCTATATTCCTCTTACTGTGTAATCTTGGCCAAAGTATTTAACCTCTCTCAAATAGATTTTCCCAGGGCTGTGGACTTTGTCAGTTTGATTTTATGCAGTCACAATACTCATTTGTTTTATTTAATAGCTATAAGTTAAGTCAGTGGATACTTGTATTTCTTTCTTTTGTGATATGGGTTTGCCTTACCTGCTTCCAGACATTTTTCTATGCATATAAAAATGTGTGCATCATGCTCCCATGCCCCCACAATTGGAACCATATTATATACACCTTCTACAACTTGTGTTGACATGGATTTCATTTCATATCAGTACGTATAAATCATTGTTTTTCCCTGTATCATATAAGTCTGTTGTATGGGGATAAAAATCGGTGATTATTTTGATTAAATTAATTAAAAATTTGGTGAAGTGTGGAGACATTTTGTGGGTTTTTTTTTTTTGAGACAGAGTCTCACTCTGTTGCCTGGGCTAGAGTGCCGTGGCATCAGCCTAGCTCACAGCAACCATAAACTCCTGGGCTCAAGCAATCTTACTGCCTCAGCCTCCGGAGTAGCTGGGACTACAGGCACCATCATATCTGGCTAATTTTTTCTATGTATATTTTTAGTTGTCCAGCTAATTTCTTTCTAGAGATGGGGTCTTGCTCTTGCTCAGGTTGGTCTCGGAACTCCTGAGCTCAAACGATCTACCCACCTTGGCCTACCAGAGTTCTAGGATTACAAGTGTGAGCCACTGTGCCTGGCCTGGAGACATTTTTGATTGTTACAGCTTGGGAGCGGGCATTAGTGGGTAGAGGCCAAGGATGGTGCTGAAAACCTCCAATGCCCAGGACAGCCCTCCACAACAAAGAATTTTCTCTCTAATGTCAATAGCTCAGAGATTGAGAAACCCTGTTATAGTCTTTTGGGGATATATTTTATGGGTTTTTCTTGTTGTTATTGTCTTCCATTAATTCTCTGAGTTTTGCTTCTTGTGTTAGCATAATTTTCTCCTTTGGCCATCTTAGATATAGCAACTTCTTGACACTACTCCAGATGACATCTTAGATATAGCTACTTCTTGACACTACTCCAGATCTTTCACTTCATACCCTATATGAACTGATTTAGGAAAACTTGAAAAACATCCTATTTGTCCAAGATTCCTTCCTGATTCTTTGGCTAAAACCAAATCTGCAACTCTTACTGTTTTGTTCATCTCAGGGGCTCAGCTTCTTGGAAGTGAAAGATCAGCTGCTGCTCATGTACCTTATGGATTTGAGCCACCTTATCCTGGACAAAGCCTCTGGAGGGTCTCTTAAGGGACATGCTGCAGTTTTGAGACTGGTGGAGATTCGCACGGTATGAAGCATTTGGCATGTTGCAGTTTTAGGTTTCTAAATTTTTTTTCTTTTGAGATGAGCATCTTACTATGTTGCCCAGGCTGGTCTCAGACACCTGGGCTCAAGTGTTCCACCTACTTCCCAAGTAGCTGGGACTGCAAGTGTGTGCCACCATGCCTAGCAGATTTCTAAATCTTCAACTCTAAGGCTGTCACATGGTAGCTCTCATTTAAGTGGGTATTCTCTTGTTAAAGTAAGGAAACCAAACACACACACAAAAAGTATTTTTCTCTTCATTTGCTCTACTTTGTGCCTTATCTGGTATATAGGGACTCTGGTGTATGTTTGATTTGGGGAAGGGGATGTAATCACATTTAACTACCACATTGCAGGTTTTGGAAAAGCTTCGTCCGTTGGACCAAAAACTGAAGTATCAAATTGACAAATTGGTCAAGACTGCAGTGACAGGCAGCCTTAGTAAGTGAAGGGACCATGATAATGTTGTGGGGACCATCATAAAGTTCCAAAGTTTATAAAATCTGGGTGTTTTATTTCAGGTGAGAATGATCCACTTCGTTTTAAGCCTCATCCCAGCAACATGATGAGCAAGGTAAGGGTTGCATTAGCCTGTTGATTTTTCCTGACGGATCTAGAATGGGCCTTGTGGTGATCCTGGATCTCCTGGGATTCTCTTATGACTTGATTTTTCCAATTTGTGCCTTAGAATGCTGAGTATGAGATTCCCCGTTCTCTCTCTTATTTATATTCCCACCTCCCCAGGGTACTCCAGCTTTGGGATTTCTTCTCCCAAGTCTGACTAATCCTTCCTAAATTTGTGGAGATTATGTCTTTGTAGTTGAGCTCTGAGGATGAGGAAGAAGATGAAGTGGAAGATGGCCATTCTGAAGCTTCAGGGAAGAAATCTGTAAAAGGAGTATCTAAGAAATATGTTCCACCACGCTTGGTTCCAGTACATTATGGTATGAATTGTGGCTGTTGCCTCATCAACATGAATTGTTTCTCTTTTCCTTTTCTCTGTTTCTGGGATAACATCTGCTGATTTTTATTATATAGACGAAACAGAAGCTGAGCGGGAGAAGAAGCGTCTAGAACGAGCCAAAAAACGGGCATTGAGCAGCTCTGTCATTCGTGAACTTAAGGAGCAGTACTCAGATGCACCGGAGGAAATCCGTGATGCTCGGCATCCTCATGTTACTCGCCAGAGTCAGGAGGACCAACATAGGTCTGAGCCTTGCAATTAGAAATTATTTCTATGCTATGGAACACGGTCCTCATGCTTTAGATGAATGTGATTAAGCTTGCTACCAAGAGAATCAATGTTATATAGAAAGTGGAGTAAAAAAATGTGAGATGATAGTTGTATGAGTTAGGAGCTTGAAGTACAGAATAGGAACTGATAAAAATGTTTTGTTTTTTCCAACTGTTTTAGGCTAAAGCAAAAGCTGTGCAAAGATGAATATATACAGATTCAAATAGTGTGACTTTAAAATTCTGTATTTCACTGTCACAGTTACCACTTTTGTATAGAGAGCAATAAAGGCAGGTTTTTATGATGGCATTGAGAGTGCTAGATAAGTTCAGGGAAGGAAAGTAGAAAAGAAATTGTAACTTGAATATGTTCATTAACTTTGCTCAGAGGCAATCTCTATAGTTAATGGATTTGCATGAAAGGGCCCATTTAGGTAATCTTGTTTATCGAGCTTAAATATAAAAAAAATTTTGGTATAATGTTTTAAATATTAATAGTACTATGGATCTGCTATGGGTTTATTTCTGGGATGAGGGAAGTTCTAGCACAGAGACCATTTCACCGAGGAAGCTTACTGAGCATTCAGGAAGTTCTTACTAAATGCAATGTTCATCTGCTATGAAACTTCTTGAGAATTCCCTGAACAAGGGATGAGTAAATACCTGGCCCCAAGTTCTGGGCTGGAGCTTTCCATCTCTGTAGTCTAAGCCTGCTATAAACAGTGTCTGTTTTCTCCGGCAGGATTAACTACGAGGAGAGCATGATGGTGCGTTTGAGTGTCAGTAAACGAGAGAAAGGACGGCGGAAACGAGCAAATGCCATGAGCTCACAACTTCATTCTCTCACGCACTTCAGTGACATCAGTGCTTTGACAGGAGGGACTGCTCATCTTGATGAGGTGAGACTGAGATACAGTAGTAGGAGGTGACCTTTATGTTTGCAGTCAAATGTATGTGGGGCTTATTACTGTGAGGAACATGGGAAGGTATGCTGACATTTAGGAAGCACACTGCCTTTCCTTTACTTCTCCATCTGTCTGCAGGATCAGAATCCTATTAAGAAGCGGAAGAAGATACCTAAGAAGGGTCGGAAGAACAAGGGTGAGTGAACTGCTAGGACTCAGGTGATCAAGTTTAAGGTGGAGAATATGAATTGGGACTCAGGATTTGCCATCCTAGGTCTCACCAACCCTTATAGTATTGCTTCCATACTGGGCAATATCTCCTTAGGTGAGCTTTAATTTTTCTTCTTGCCTAAGCTGGAAATCAGCATCATTCACACAAGGAATTGCTGGAATCCATCTCTAAGGTTCCGCAGTTCCTGTTAAGGCTTCCTTAAATAGAACTATGAAAGTGTCACTTAAAGGGACCATTATCCTGTTTCAATTTCATTCTTCTAGTCTTATGTCCTGGGAAGATAGAAAGTACTGCTTAGGACACCTACCTCTTTTGAGCCCTTCTCTCTAGATATCCGTTTTTCCTGTCCCTTCAGCTTTTCCAACTGTCCTTTGCCTCATTCTTGGTTTCCCTTCCTTTCAGGTTTTCGGAGGCGGCGGTGATTATGGGTGTGCATATATATATATGTATATTTTGTCATCCTGAGATACTTCTAATTTCATTGTATGTAGGTTTTTCCTTGGAATTCATTAATTGTTTGCTTTGGACATATGGAAAGATCCTTACTAATAAAAGTGATTTTATTTAATGAATTAAAGCCCCTTTTGCACATGTATTGTATGAATGGAATCGCTGGGTATGGGCTGTTTTTGGTGAGTGAGTGAAAAGATGAGATGTTTTTGGAAGTATGAAAAGTTTGGCTTTATATAGTTTCCTTTGATAATGTATTTTTCCCAGACACTAAAAATTGGTTATTTTATAAAAAATATTCTCAAAATTTTTTAGAATAGTATAATCAACTCTTCCAACCCACATTGCCCCAACTTCTGTATGATTTGTTACAGTGCAATATAGGTATCTCAAGTACATGGATTTTAGGTTTTATTAATATATCTGGGCTGACCACCAGGTGGCATTAGTGGTTCAGGAAACCTTTGGAGCTTTACTATAATCAAAAGCAAGATAGAACCTTTCCACATCAGCAAGAGTTATTCTTGTCTCCACTTGTCTGAATGTTTTTCTTTTCTTTCTAAAATGGCATGAGCATAGGACTGATCTTTGGTCAGTTACTGAATGAGTTTGTAGAGAGTAGTAGAGTGAATGAGAAGGCTAGAGTGAAGAGTTAGTATAGTCTAGTGTTTTTCAGCCTCTTTCACCCTCCTTCAAGTAAGGTCTCCATTTACCAGAGACAATAAGGGCCAGCACTTTACGAAGAGCTTTCAAAAGAATGCTAACAAGCAGATGGACAGAAAATTTGTAGCTTGACAGCCAAAACAATGAAAATCCCACAGAAATATCAGCCAAACCCAAATCAGGAGACTGGTGGGAGTTATATATGATCTTGTAATTCTGTCCAGAGAATAACTTATGTTGTTGAGAGATCCCGGAGGCCTTGAATAATACAATGAAACGAGGGATACAAAGAGAGAGATGTGGAGTGTAGAGTTAATCTGTTGGAGTTTTGTTGTTGTTTTTTAAGAGAGAGGGTCTTGCTATGTTTCCCAGGCTGGAGTGTAGTGGCTAGTCACAGGTGTGATCATAGCTCACTGCAGCTTCAAACTCCTGGGCTCAAGTGATCCTGCCACCTCAGTCTCCCAGGTTACTGGGACTATAGGCTCATGCCACTATGCCCATTTAGCCCATTGGAATTTTTAAAAGGCTTTGAGTCTCACAAACATCTGATTTTAGTGTCTAGCATTCCTGGGCAGTGTCACAGGAATATAATTTGGTCATTATATCACTAAAACCTTGTTAATTCTGAATCTATGAATTTGGATTTATTTTAGCCTGCCTGATTGGGGCAGGAGTCTTTCTTCAGTCAGCTGTAGCCTGGTAGAAAGTAGTGGGGAGACTGGACCTCTGAATGCCTTCTGCTAACTCTATTTTTGGCCAAATCACTTAATGTCTCTGGCCTTTAATTTCCCTCAGCTTGAAAATGAATATATTAGACCGAATCTCTGAGATTCTCTCCCAAGTCAAAGGGCCTAGAGCTTCTGTGAAAGACATCAAGATGGGCTTACTTCTGGTATCTCTAACTTTTAGTCCCTGGTAGATCTGAGGGATCCTAACATGTCCTAAACCCTCATACTTCTATTTCTTCAAGTAAATCAACAAAGAGCCACAAGAACAGATTTAGAAATTTTTTTCCCTTTCTGGCTGAACTAACTTTATGAGTGGTTCAGCTCAAAAATGCTTTAGTTAGGACCACCACATTTGCTTGTTGGTTAGTACCACTGTATTTGTTTATAACTTATTAAGACTTTTGGATTATGGGAACTACCAGGGGAAAGGAAGTGCTACTCCTTTACAAAATTTATGACATTTTCCTTTTCCTAGTGAGGAAGCTGAGGGTAAGCAATTTGTCCAAGGTCAAAACGGCTAATAAGTTGGAGAACCAGTGCTTGGGGAATGCTGATGGTGGAGGACTTCAAGTGTCCTGTGGTTCATGAAAATCATCAGGGGTGTTTTTTTCTTTTTAAAAACATTTGTAGGTCGTTTATAACCACTAGTTCCCCCATCCTTACTGCCCCATTTCTGCTCAAGGCCTTGCCTTCAAAGAAACCACAATTCCACTATTTTGGCCTCTTGGTGGTATAGCAGTCAACAGAGCAGGTAAGTCCCTGCCTTTGTGGATCTTACATTAATTCAGTTAAGTTTAATCCCAGGGCATCTTGTTTTCCCTGGCTTTTAGGCATTATTTGAAAGAGATTTCAGCTAGGCACAGTGGCTCATGCCTGTAATCTTAGTGCTCTGGGAGGCTGAGGCGGGTAGATTGCTCAAGGTCACGAGTTCGAAACCAGCCTGAGCAAGAGCGAGACCCTGTCTCTACTAAAATAGAAAAATTAATTGGCCAACTAAAAATATATAGAAAAAATTAGCTGGGCATGGTGACACATACCTGTAGTCCCAGCTACTCGGGAGGCTGAGGCAAAAGGATTGCTTGAGCCTAGGAATTTGAGGTTATTGTGAGCTAGGCTGATGCCACGGCCCTCTAGCCTGGGCAAGATAGTGAGACTGTCTAAAAAAAAGAGAGAGAAAAAAATGAAAGAGATTTCTAACAAAAAGTTGAGTTATTTCTGAGAATATTTGTACTAGAGTCATCAAACACTGTTTAGAGTGTATTGTTTGACAGAATTTTCTATAGATTCTCAATATTTAAAACAGGCACAAGTGGGGTTACTTTGATTGAAGTGGGAATTGAGAGGTCCTGAAGTTCCATGTTCTTATGACTCCCTTTTCCCAAGATTCTTGAGATGCTCCTAGGAACCTTTAGAATTCCTCAGAACATAGTTTGAGAACCACTATTAGTGTAGTAGAGCAAGGGAACTAAGAATTTTAGGATTTTTCTATGGCTGTTCTATTCACTTTTCTTCTTTACCTTATTATTCCTATGTAGTTCTCTCGTGTTTAAGACCACATGAATTTCAGATTTCCTCAGTGCAGTGCTAACAATAGCACATTTCCGGTGTTCACTAAGCCTGTCATTAGTGCACACGCCTGTTCAGTTTTATAATGTGATGGTAAGAGAGTCCCAGCTTTATTCTGTACAAGTAGTTTAGCATTTTTGCCTTAGTTTTTTTCATCTTAGGAGGTAGGAAAGAGAGTTTGACCAGGGCCTGTTTTTGCCTCAAACACTTTGTTTTTAGGATTTTGTGAAGGCGTGGGGAAATATCTGTCAGGAGTTTATAACAGTCTTCATAGATACCTTCTTAGAAAAGAGACATTTCATTTATGAGGATGAGATGACCTGATTACAGTATATCTGTTTTCAGCACCATGGAGAGTTCAAGCTCCCCTCATTCCTTGCCTTGGGTCGGTGGAAGGCACATAGCTAAACCAACTCACAGAGCTGCATGGTATATACCTGTCCATTTTCAGAGTTCAATTTATCCGTCCAGTATTCAGTTCTGATTGGTACAGATTGGGTGAGAGTCAACCACACTCTTGAATGTCCCCCGTCCTCCCTGGAATCTATTAGATCTGTAAACCCCAGATTCATGGCAACAATTTGGCCAACTTGAGTGGAGGGAGGCATATGGGCAGAATCCTGCGTTCTGCTTCACCGGTAACATCATTCATATTATGATGCACAAGATTTTTACCAATCCTTGAGGAAAACTCTTTCCCCTACTCTCCTTTGCTTAGAGACCCTTGAGGAGACTTAAAATTGCTTTTTTATTCCTTGGGCCTCTTTTTCTGCCTCTGTGTGGGAAAAGGCATCATTCCTCTGGCTCTTTGCCCAGTCTTGCTTTTGTATGCCTTTGATCTTATTGTTCAGAGGGTCTCAGAGCCCCTCTGAGAAGCCCCAAGAGCCATGCCTTTGCATGTTTAAGCTATTGATGCTTTTGAAATAACAGAGTGTCGCTGTGTAAGAAGTGTATTAAAGGTCTATCTCAAACAAATTTGGGTCAATAGGTGGCAGTAGTCACTGAGTCCTGAGGCCCTGACACCCCCTAAACCCAAGCATGTTTGATGGCCATTATATTTAAGGAGGGACATGAGAAAGGAGGTCACATTGAGATAAAAATGGGGAGAAAAGCAATCCCTTTTGGTGGAATCCAGGAAATGTTGAAATGTGCCGGATTCCTTCTGTGGAAGTGTTGTATGGGGGAAGATTGCTATTAGCTAGTGAAAGGTGCTGACAGAAAAGAGTAGACCCTCAGAATTCGGGGAGCAGATCTAAGATGTGGGTACTAGGGCTTCTTCAAGCTATATTGAGGCAGTGTTAAATGAGGACCAGAGCTGAAAGGATACAGTAGGATTAGAGGGATTGGGGGGGAGCGAGGGGCAGAGCTGTGTGAAGGAACCATGGAAAGGGTGGGCTGTGAAAGGGAGGACTGCGGTTAGAGGGGGAAGGGTAGGCTGCCGCAATACTGAGCCTATCTAATGGGGGAGGGGAGGGGAAGATATTGGTCTGTGCTGCAGCTGCATTGGCTCCCCTCCCCCACACTTTCCAAGGAGCCAGAGCAGTGCTGGCAAATCTGTCTTCGTGTATTTATTATTATTAAAAATGTGACGGATCCTTCCTCCCTGGAAGCACAACAAATACTACTGATCACATTTCCCTCTCCCCTCCCTCTGCAGAGCTTTTGCATTCTCTCTTTCATGCTTTCCACCCTGTCCTCCCCCACTTGGTCTGTTTGACTGGTGGGGGGGACCCTTCCTTTCCTTTCCTTCTCAGAGCTTGGTGGCTCCCTGGGGGTTTCTAATGGTGCTTGTGAGTTTTTGAGGCAATGCTGGGAGGAAGCAGCTGAGTGAGGGGCATTCATTGCTCCAGGGAGGGAGCTGTACTCTCCCTCATCCAGTGGGGAAAGAAAATCACTTAGAAATAAAGATAAAAATCCTTTCTCCAGCTAATGAAAGAAGAAGCGGGCGCTCACATTCCGTTGAGTACCTGGCTTTCCTCCTTTTTCATACCCTTCTTCTACTGCCTGAATTCTGAAGGGAAGAGCCCTTTGTAATGGAAAAAGCCAGGAGTTCTGTCTTTCCTCCCTTACCTTGTTAAGTCCTTGTCTTCCCAGGAGAGCCATATACAATTTATTCTTTTAGCCTGGGTGTTGTGTAACTGAGAGGTTTGAAGGGCAGAGTCCATGCTTCTCCCTCCCCACCTG